AAAGTCTGACAGAAGTAACTGCCTATCTTGTAAAAGCTGTCAAATATGAAGAAGAGGAAACAGTCTACAGCTGCACAGTGGGATCCAATCCTTTAAGCTTATCTGTTTCTCCTCTCCCATTTTCTATAGTGACCATGCATTACTGCAGAGCCAGGAGACAATCAGTGCACATTCTATGGGACGGCATCAAGGAGGGGGAGCTCAGCGCTCTGTGGCCTGCTTTAAGAAGCTGCACTCAGACCCCACGCTCCCCACCCCATCGCATCTGTAGCAGGCCTCTCTCTGAAAGGCCAGTTTGCTTCAAGGGAGTCCTGCCTGGCTGTCAAGTCCGCTTGGCCACCCTTGGGGACCAGGAGACAGTACTCACAGAAGTCACTGCCTCTTTGACTCCTAGCCCCAGAACCTGCTCCATCATTATGTTTGACCTTATTCCCCAATAGCCACACAGATGCTGTCTAGAAGGAAGCCGCAGTCCCAAGCTCAAGGGTCTCTGTATCTGGTCAGCAGAGGGCCAAGCCTAAGCTGCAGCAGGCAGGGTTGAGGACTGAGTTCCTCAGCCTGCCAGTGCAGAGGCAGAGAGGGGTGAGCACACAGTTTACGACTAAATACTGTGGCTACTGAGGTGTGAGTGAGGGTATGGTGCGAGGGTAGCAGGCAGCCACTGAGAGACTGTTACTCTTCTAGTACTGACTTCTTCTGAGCCTTCAAAAGTCACTCTGGCTGTGGGAGTGGAAAGTGGACCAGGGGGCTAACACCAATCAAAACCCCAATTAGGAGCCAGGGCAGTGATGTCAAAAGGCTTTAATCCCAGCACTCAGGAGGCAGAGGCAGGCAGATCTCTAAGGCCAACCTGGTGCAAGTTCTAGCACAGCCAGGGCTACACAGAGAAACCCTGTCTTGGAAAAAAAAAAACAAAAAAAAAAACTAAAAACAAAAAGCCAAACTCAACCAACCAAACAAGATAAAACAAAACAACAAAAAAGTGTCAGTTAGGACCTTTATGCAAAAATTGAGTTAAAAGGGAGCTGGAGAGATGGCTCAGCAGTTAAGAGCACTTGCTGCTCTTGTAGAGGCCCTGGATTTGGTTCCCAGAACCCATATGACAGCTTACAATCATCTGTAACTCCACAGCATATGGTGCCTTCTAGCCTCTAACCAGGTGCGTACGTACAGGGAGCACTCAGGCAGGAAGATCAAAGGCCTTAGGAACAACCTCAGTGCTAGGAAATGAGTCAAGGCTGTGTCCTGTTCCCACACCTGGTGAGAACACAGGTGAAGAAATGAATCCGAAGTGGAGGGGCCCAGGAGGAGATGTCAAGACACAGCAGGAAGCTCTGAGGGTTAGAGCCGGGTCTGGGCTGAGATATTGATCTGAGGTCTGTGGAAATTATGGAAAGTGGAAAGAGAGGAAAGGGATAGGGGAAGGAATGAATCTAGAGGAACCAATACACTGGGAGGACAGGAGGAGGGAGGGGAGCACTCAGGATGAAGGAGAGGAAAAAGGCAGTCATAGTGATCTCTGCCTAATAGAAATCAGGCAGGCTGGGAGCTGGAGGGCCCTGTCCGGCTCTGGGAGGCCCCCAGGCCCCTGCTGAGACTGTCTGGTCGGCCCTTCCAGTGCAGGGTCTGCCCCAGCATCTCCTCCAGGGCCTGTCTGTGCTCTATGGGCACAGCTAGACAGCGGTGGGTAGAGAGCCACTCAGGTACCAGGCTCACCCAGCCCCGGTGGGCTGGGTGCTGTCCTTCGGGTGCGTTTTAGAGCCTGTCCAGTGGCCGGAAGTCTTCTCCAGCTCAGGGACTTTAGGGTCAAGCCCTGCCATCTGCTGAGAGACAGAGCCACCTAGTGGACACGAGGTGGCAGATTCCCTCACCCGCCTAGCCCTTTGTCTGAATTTTGGCCACCTAGGCAGAGACAACCTGGCATTTGGTGCATGAGCTGAGGTTGGCTCTGCCAATGGAGAAGGTGGAGGGTTAGAATTTCCTGGAGACCCCCTCAGTCTCACAGCATGGACAGACACACAGGCTCCTGGCCAGTACTCTACACTAGTCTGGGGTTTTAAAAATATGCATTTATATGTGGCTTATTTGTCACAGAGACACTAAAGAAGGCTTGAGAAGATCTTCCTCCTGGCCCTGATTCACAGTCCTTGGAATCCCCAAGCCTCCTGAAGCAGCATGTGTCCAGGTCTGGTGACTTCCATAGGTAAGGGGCATTAGCAGCAGTGCGGGCTGTGGCTATGACTCCTCCTCCCCTCTCCAGGAAACCCACGCCACGGCAAAGAAAGCACCTATGGAGGCCACACACCCAAGAGGCCCTGGATTCCAGAGCCTATGGACAGCCACACCCACCTGCCCACAGCTGCTTTCGGCTACACCAGCAGTTTGAGCCCAGGCCCAGTGAGGTCACTGTGGTCACCTTTCTTAAGACAGCCTCACGCAGCCCGGGTCAACCTCAACCTCACTGTGTAGTCAAGAATGACGTCGCTGATTCTCCCGTGTCTACTTCACCCATTTATCTGGTGCTGGGGACTGAACTCAAGGTCTCATGGTTGCCAGGCAGGCACTCTGCCAGCGGAGCTACACCCTCAGCCTTCACCGTGACCTTCTGGAACAACCCAGCAGACTGCATCTGTGCTCTCAGTCGCTGGTTCGGCAACGTGAGTTTTCATATATGTGCACACATATGCTTTATATATGCATGAGCTAGAGTCTCATGTATCCCAAGCTGGTCTTGAACTCTCGCTAGGATTACAAGTGCGTGCCAACATTTCCAGCCAGCTAAATAATAACTTTTATTTAATTTATTTTTATTTTTGTAAATAATAAGCAGTAACTTTGAAACTATTTATGTTATTAGTTTTAATCGTGTATATGTGGGTCTGTGCGTGTGAGTGCAGATGCCGGTGGAGGCCAGAGACGACAGATTGCTCTGCACTGGAGTTATGGGTAGTTGAGTTGCCTGATGTGGGTGTTGGGAATTGAACTCAGGCCCTCTGCAAAAACAGTACTTGCTCTGAAATGCTAAGCCATCCCTCTGGCCAACATCTAACTTCTTAAAGTCAGGGGATATATATAACTCAGGAGTAGAGTGCCTACCCAACATGTCCAAGGCGCTGGGTTTGATTCCTACCACAAAACAGATTCTTCACTTCTTACAAAAGAATGCATGGACAACATGAACAAATATTTTATAAAGCTCGCTAACTTGAAAGTGAAAGTCCATTATGGTAACTATACTCAGCCACTTTGCTCCATCAAGGGTTGCAGGCCCTCAGTAGCACAATCTGGCATGCATGAGGCTCTAGGACTGACCTTCAACACCACATAAACCATTTTTCCCTACCAGTAGCTGAGTAAGTATCCCATTCGCTACACACACACACACACACACACACACACACACACACACACACACACA